AGCCCATCACAGTCCCTACAGTAATCTTGGAAGTGGTGGGTATCCGTAGCGACTGCATCTGAAATAGCTTTATCTACCAAAACGGGAAAAGGGCTGCCAGTTCTGATGCCATTTCATTTTTCCTCCTCGGCAGGGGAAGGGGAAAAACCCCAAGCTCCTCTTTTACCCACCTTCTGTCCTGTGGCGGCCTTCCCACAACGAGATGGGTAGACCTTTCATGGTAGGGAAGGAAAACAGCCAACAACATGTGAGACCCAGCTCGCTTGGGAGCCAAAGCACCCTACTGCCAGTCTGTCCTGCTTCACAGACTCGTGAAACAAAGAGCCGCACGTTGTCCTGCCTTTTATTATTTAAGCTTAAATTGGATATGCAGCAGTTAAGCTTCAGTTTCAGTTTTCTTGTCAAATCTATCATTCTGTTTTCTCTGTGCTTGACACTCTCTCCACCTGAAGGATACAGAGATGTGTCTCAAAAGATACAACGCTTCCAACAGCTTCCAATCAATCTTGGGCAGAGCGCACCTAATTAAGCTAGGAGTTCAGGGAAACTAAGTGGGGTGTGAAATCCGGGGACTGCCAAGATGCCCAAACAGTCCTGAGCACACCACGTTTATCTGCTCCTCCTCTACGGAAGAGGGAAAGCGTCCCTGTGCCTCCGAGCAGTGTTTTCCTATCTACGAACGTGCATTTTTCTGCATTGCCAAGCTGAGCATTTATCCTGCACCAACACCTTGTCAGCTGTAACACAAGAATGTCCCCTATCACAAATGGATTTTGGTTATGACCAACTACGAGCCTGTACCAGAAAGACATTTCTTTATCAGGGGAAAAAAAAAACAAACCACCAGTCATGCTCTGACTCAAGGATTTATCACTCAATTTAAGAAATCAAGCCTCGGCCCAACGCAGTTACGTTTGGAAGACAGCAGTGGAGCGAGCGGTGATGAGCAGAACACATTTCTACAGAACACCTCCCTGACAGCAGCGCTGTTCAGAGTCTGGAATTAGCCGGAGAGACAAAACAATTAGCATTACACAAAATCCAATCCCGAAGGCAGCTGGCAGAAGGATGCCACGTCGCTGTGCAGAGCTCAGCTTAGCGACTAACGCAGGCCCAGCTCTCCAGCTCCAAACACGCCTGAGGCACCCAAGTGCCACCTCTCAAGAGGATCTCGGCCAAATGCTTTCCACAAGCGCTTGTGCTTCGGAGAGGACCAGCCCAGCTCTGGGACATCACACGCAGGGACAGCGGTGCTGCCACCTCATGATCTGTGCTCAGCTGGATACATCTAAAGGACAGGGTGCACCCACGCATCCCCAAATCCCAACCTTCCCCCCTGCAAAGGTGGCTCGGAGCACTGCCCTGGAAGCATCTTAAGGCAGGAGCTAAACATGCTCCTTGCATCCTCCAAGGAAAAAGTACCACGGATGGAAGCACCCTGTGGAAAAAAGCGCCGTGAAGACCTCCAAAGCCTGCAAGTGACTTTGGTTTGCTACCTGATGTCTTCTTCTATCTTGGCCTGTGCCTCGAGATCGAAAGGGTCAGCTGAATAGAGTCGGATCCTCTCCTGCTCCCGCCGCGCTCGGTCCTGCTGTTGCTCCAGCAACACCCTGGTGAATTTCTCTGCAGTAACAAGGAGATACAGAAATGCTTTTTACTGGAAATTACTCTTACAAATCAAGTTCTGGCACAGCAAACACTTCTTTTTATGCCAGCAGGCACTCTGGGGTAGGCTCGGCAGCACACACCAAAAAGGCTTCCTCTGAAGGCAGCATGGAGGGACCTCAAAGGATCGATGGCAAACCTGGGAACCCACTGAGATGAAAAGCAACTGGAGAGGGTTCTTTCTCCTTGTGGCTGCTGCCCAAACTCAGCACAATCAAACTCATTTTCTTTGCACATAGATTTTGTATGGAAGAAAAACGGAAAAAACAGGAAGGCAACAGTATTTAAAACAAAGAGCTGCCATTTAAACAGGAATTCATTCTTCTATTGCAGCAAGAATTGCCTATACAACACTCCAAAAAACCAACAAACAACCCCAGGTGCAAAACCAGCAGATAAGCGAGACCCGAAGCAGAAATCAGGACGACACAATTCAAACAAGAAGCCTGAGTGCACGTGTCTTTTGAAAAACCTTCAGATACAGAAGCGAGATTTCATAGCTCTCAGTGAGACGGCCCATCTACAAGAACAGCTTGCAAAATCTATCACGTTTTACACCCAGCAATCCCCGGTAAAATAACAGCCCGAGATCCAGCAAAGAGCAAACGCAGAGCTGTAAGCCGTAAAAAGGCTAACAACAAAACTTACTTTAAACCCAAGCAACGCAGGCAAAGACAGAGACATTATAACCCCTGAAGCTGAACGCCTACCACCGAAATCAAGAGGTCCAAGGCGGGACACCTGCTTTACACAGTCTAGCCGCACATTTTAAGGACACAGATTTCAGATCCCTGCTTTTTGGATGGCCTCTGGCTATTTTTTACTACTTAGATGTGATCATGTAGGTTCCCAAAAGGACTTGGCAATACATGAAGCTCTGCAAACACAGAAGGTTGTGGGTTTGCTTCCAGAAATGCAGTTCCCATGAAGAAGCTCTCTGGCTCAAAGGCTGTGAGATGTCCAAGAAGGCATTGCCTATGTTTTTGTTTTCTTGCTTGGGTTGTTTTTTTTTTTTAAATTAGGCTTCTGTATAGCAGGTGCCTTCTAAAGTGCTTGCGGTGCATCCAGCACAGTCACATGGCATGTATGCCTGCGTCTATTTGGGCATCAGTGCCAGAGCTGGACTGGATCTGTGCCCAAATACCGACAGCAGCAGCAGCAGCACAGAACGATGAGCGCACAACCAGCTCTAACCCCTTCCTTCCGACAGCCCACTGCGGCCATTTGGGACTAAAAAGACGCATCTGATTCGAAGTTTAATGCGCACAACAAGACAAGACAGATCAGCAGATGAGCCAGTTCTGGGTGTCTTGGGCTTAACCCCCCGTTTCCTCTGCCAAGAGCAGCACATCTTCCCAAGGTGAGGGGAAAAACTCCGGCACCACAGACGCAGCGCTTGCAAGAACTGTGAAGAAGCCTGAGAGTGCAAAGGACCCGGCTTTAACTCTGGATACAAACTGAAGTCAGAATTAAAACAGGAAGCATGCTGACAATATCAAGGCAAGTTCCCTTCTAGCTTCCTCTGACAGAGAGAAATCACCAGGACGTAACCTTGAAAGTGGGGCAGAGTCTCCTGCTAGAAGTTCCTTCCCTTCATTCACTTCCCCAACTGAACAGGATTTATTTCCTAACGAAACAGCTTGCAGAGGCTTAGAAGCACATCTGCTGACGCCCCAAACACCGCTCTCTTTTCGCACTGAAAGGACACTAAAGTTCAAAGCTTTCCTCACGTAAGAACGAGGGACCGACCTCAGCTACTCCCCCTGCACAGGAAGGGAAGGACACGGTGCTGGGCTTCAACTGCACCCAAAATAAACGAATCCTTTCAAGATTAATGGAAATGTGAACATTTACGACTGATTCCTCTTGGAAAAGCTCCCTACGACACTAGTTGCGCGTTTCTTTTCCCCTCCCTTTCTGACGTGCACTTTGGCAGCAGCTAACCGTTACGGACAGGGCTGGTTTGCAGCGTGCTGCTCTCCACCGAGGTCTCAGGGGGCTCTGGGATGCAGCAAACGCAACACCTTTATTGGAAAACGTGCACTCGGAGAGTCTTCGCACAAAAAACGGGAGCTGAGCAACTTGTGCTCACAGAAACTCGACTTATCTGTGCATCTGATCTGTCAAAGTAGGGGGACAGAGGATATTCAAGAAGCCAAGCAGGAGAAACAAACCCAACTTGCCAGAAATGGTCTTGTTAGCAGGAGAGGAACTCTGCCTTGAGTACTCCCTTTTATCAGCATCATCAATGAGTTGGTGGCGAACATCCCAGCTGGTTAAAGACCTGTGCCTGCCTTTTATTAGAACTGAGCTCAAACAGATTTAAAACCACCTCCCGCAGGTTAAAAACCCGACTTACCGAGGTCTCCGCTGAGCAACGCCTCGGCCAAGGGCGGATTGCGCTCCTTCAGCAGCGACAGCTCGTGGGGATTCGCAAGCAACATCTCCCGTAGCAGCGCCGGATTGTCCAAACCCTGAGGGAACGAAGGGGCCTCGGGAGGCGACGGGCGAAGCCGCTGTGCTGGTGGTTGGTGCTGCTGGGTGGATGTCCCAGGCACCGCGATGCTGCTGAAGTCTATCCTCGGCAGACCTTGAGGGGAAATAAAAGAGGTCAGAGGTGTCGGCGCTTCGTGTTTACAGTTCTGCTCGAAAAACACCGTGGAAAAACACCGCGGGAAGGATGAGCCGCTCTTAACGCTACAGTACGAGACCAGAATCGGCGATTCGTGCCGGAAGCGCAGCCACGTACTCGGGTTACTGGGTTAGGAATGCGAGCACGTACTTACATAACTGGTCTGGCCTTCTATCTGGCCCATTTTTTTATCCCCTGAAATGCACTTACTGAATCGCAGACTAGTTATTTCCAGCTCCACAAACGCGAATGCCATGCGGAGGGATCGCAAGGCTAAACCCAGTGTCTCTAAGGCACTTCGGAATCTCTTGGATTAAAAAAAAAAAAAAAAAGAAAGGGGAAAAAAAAAAAAAAAGGTAACATTTCTGCAGACCTGCATTGCAGGTACCCATCCTCCAGCTGAGGCAGGAGGATGAAGACCTCACGCAACGCTCCCACGCCCTTCTCAGCCAGCAGTACCCTCTTTCCCAGCGTTATTTTATGATGAGGATTTGCTGGGGATCCCTGCGGAGGGCAGGACAGAGGAGCAGGGCTCCACTTGGACGTTGGTGGAGGGCTCTTTCGCGCGGTGGCGGAGCTGGGTTTGTCAAGACGTGGCTTCTCTGGGTATTTGTCCCAGCGCAGATCCAGAGCGCGCACGGATACGGCCTCTTCACACGTCTGAGCCGCACGGACCGCGTGTTACCGCGCCGTTACACCGAGCGGGAAGGGAACCAGCAGTCGTACGGAAATTCCCTTGCCTTTACAAAAACTGCTGTTCTCAACCAGTTACCTTCCTTGCCTTCTCTCTATTTCCCCAAAACAACAGCAAACCAATATTCGTTTCCTTGGAATAACACCCCACTGAGTAACAAGCCCTTTAGCCAATTTTAAAAGCCCCCCGCCTCCCCCTAGCCCTCCCTTCCTAAGTGTTTTGCCTAGCGAGGTACTAAAGGAGACTGACGCGACGCGGAGCTGGCGCTTGATAAATATCGAGGTCTTTGCCCGCAGAGAGCAGAAGCCAACACAAATCCTTTCTCACCTGGGAATCGGATGGAGGGCCGCGGCTCTACGGTCTCTTTCTGCCGCAGAATCACCACGTCGCCGTCTTTCAAGCCATAGGAGGCCAGAGATCTGTTGTTGTCAGTTAGAGGCTGCTCCGCATAGACTATCTGTTCGTGGAGAGAGCGCAGTGAAAACCAGCCCGCCTGACAAAGCAGACAGCATCTTGCGCTTTTTCACTTTTATTTCTTTAGGACCACGTTCCAGTAAACCCTCTGGACCCGCCTCAGGCTTCAGAAGCGAAGGTGTGGGGTCCTCACCACAGGCACGGGCAGGCCCTGCCGAAGCTCCTCTACCTCAGGCACAAAAACACCTCCACAAGCAAGTGGTTGGACAATGACACTGAGTCGGTCTTACCAAAACCCAGCAGTGTTTCCTCAAAACCCAGCAGTGTTTCCTCAAAACCCAGCAGTGTTTCCTCAAAACCCAGCAGTGTTTCCTCAAAACCCAGCAGTGTTTCCTCAAAACCCAGCAGTGTTTCCTCAAAACCCAGCAGTGTTTCCTCAAAACCCAGCAGTGTTTCCTCAAAACCCAGCAGTGTTTCCTCAAAACCCAGCAGTGTTTCCTCAAAACCCAGCAGTGTTTCCTTAAAACCCAGCGTCTCGGAGAAGGGCTGGTCTCTCTCCATTATTAAAGGAAAGGAAGCCTTGCGCCAGGGCTGTTGGCCAGCCGTTTCCAAAATCCAGCCTCTACAATTACGCAAGTCACGACTATCTCCCACAGCGTTATCTGCCCCCAAGTCAGCACCTATTGACCAAGGACCGAGGGCACACACGCAGGCAGTGCCGAGCGGGGTAGATCCATGGATGACCCAGTTCAATATCTATGATCTCTGCCTTTTCCCACAACACAGTTCCCCAGAATAACCAGTTTTACAGGGACCTCAATGATTAGCTCAGAGATTTCCAGTTCACTTCAGTGATGTAACCCTGTCCAGACTCGAAGGTTCAGCACCCAAAGACACCGCTCCCGACACTGCAATCAGTCCACGGCAGGGAATTAACTTCTTTTGACTATAAAACACAAAGTCACACCATCTTCTATTATGATAATCTGACTTAACAAGGGGTCCGCAGATTAAACACAAAACCGTATTGAGATAAAAATGAATAATCACCATGGGAACGTTTCTATCAACACTAGAGCTGTAATACCTACAGATGTCCTAAATTACAGGGAAGCAAGAAAAATTAAAGATGTGCTTTACGGGAACAAAAGTTCCCAGAAACGGTACCTGCTAAACGCTACGGTTTCTGTGCCTCCATCGGGGCGCAACGAGACTGGGCAGATCAGTTCAACAGCCTCCTACCCCTGGCAGGAGTCCAAAGCAAGAAGCGCCGCCGGAGCCTAAACCCCTCGGGCACAAGCTCGAATTTCACATTTACCACCTCGAATTTCACATTTACCACCTCGAATTTCACATTTACCACCTCGAATTTCACATTTACCACCTCGTTTAGGTGTCTCCGTACCTCGAATTTCACATTTACCACCTCGAATTTCACATTTACCACCTCGAATTTCACATTTACCACCTCGAATTTCACATTTACCACCTCGAATTTCGCAACAACAGGTTTGCTGCAGGTTGGGACTGGCAGAGCCGCGTGGGAGAAGCTTTCGCAGCCCTTGCGTGGATGGGCTACGGCTCTGCCCAATGCCAATGCAAGCAGCAGATCCCAAAAGAAGATCCAAAAAATACCAGTTGCTACACGTCTTAAGGTCTGGAAGGCGCTACAGCCTTTTGCTGCTTCACGCCAGCAACTCGGAAATATCACACAGACTCATTCTAACTGCGGAGATCCAGCGGCGGCAGCAGCATCGGGGCCAGAGTAAGGCAAGACAGAAAAAGCAAAAATACCAAGAACTGCATACGACAGCACTCAGAGCCACCAGAATTAGAGAAACACGGGCGATTAGGACCAAGCACGAGCTTCCTCCGTTCTCATTAACGACACCCTTCACAGCCTCAGCGGTGCTGCGCCAGACCAAAGCAAACACGGGGGTGGGGGTGCAAGCTACGTGAGGGCACGCAAGTCTCTACCCTGATGGTTTGCAAGATGCTACTGGCATGGTGAAGGTTAGCTCATGATGGGAAGAGTCCCAGTGCATCTTCCCACGTCACCGGACGCATCCCGCCCGGCCCGACTCCGCCGCTGCCCGCAGAGCAAGCGAGTGTGTGCTAAATCCCAGCTGCACGTGCAAACCTTACATGGCAGTTTCCCGGCACAGACACTCTGGAAGAGACAAGTTAATCAGTTTAAGCGAGGTTTTACCTCCGTCATCTTGCTGGGACCGGATTTATGAGCGTTTGGCCTTAACTCCTCAGACAATGAATTAAGCGCCCAGCACTCGCTCTACATCCGTCAGCAGCGCGGCTTAATACGCTTTCGCCTCATCCCGCCCTGCTGTTAAACCAAACTGATTCAACTTTGCTGCGTTTCGGTTATCCGGCTCGTAGCGTATTACGTAGGCTGGCCAGGGGCTCTTCAGAAGGTGACCTGGGCAGGGATGCAGGCACCGGTACCGCCCGACGGTTGGATTTTTGCCTGATGCCATAGGGTATAACCTCCTTACAGAGCAAGGAACGCCAGCCAGGAGGGCTAGATACCATCAGCAACCATAAATCAATCCAAACCCAGAACCCGTTCCATCTTCCTGTGCGCGGCCAAGGACAGGAGCCACGCGGAGCGTAAAGGAAGAGGAACGACGGGAGTAACGGTGCTGCCAGAGGAACGTGGCTCTGCCGAGAGCCTCCCCGTCCCCTCTCCAGAAAAGCCACGGCCTCGATGCATGGAGGAAACCGCAGCGAGCTGAATTATTTTCCGTCTCCTCACCCAGCTCCTCTTATCACCGCCAGCCCGCCAGCAGCCCTCCCCGTTATCTCACGCCGCCGTCCCTCGGAAACCTCGCAGCCCCCCCTGCTCGCCTCCACCCCAAACTGCGGCACCCAGGACTAAGTTCAGGAAATAGCAGAGAATAAGACTGGGATTAACCCTCCTCCACACACAGCAGTGGTTTGCTCCGCCCTGCACAGCCCTGGCTATTAAATTCATCCTCTCTTTTGTGCCAACGTCACACCTTTAACGCAACGTACGCCCCAGTTATGGAAAAATGGCAGCAAACCACCCGGTTTGGTAAATGCAATACTGCATGTGTGTGGAGGACGGTTTAAGCACGCAACATCCTTCTGCTCAACAAGCTGCTTCACTGATAACTTGTATTTCTACAACTTTATACCCACCGAAGGTCCTCAAAACACTTCACAAAACCAGGCAGAAACAGTGGAGAAAAGAACAATAAATACACAGCTAGAAAACACAAAAAGAAACGAAGCAAGATGATGCTTAAATGGCAGATGGGTGAGCAGAAGGGAAGCAGAGGTGGGTACAAAAAGCGCAGCGCTGTTACCTGCGGCTGATACAACCGCGAAACTCCGCAGCAGTTTAATGGCAAAGGAAGGGAACTCCCAGAAAAATATAAGCAGAAAACTCTGTGACCCCTCATTATCCTAAAACAGACCCAGAGCTGGCAGGTTACGCTGACGCAAGCGGGACAAAGCTGATGACGAGGAGTTTTATGTTTTTATCGAAGCCGCCGCGCGCTCGCAGAGTCCCACGCGTTGAGGTTGTCCCCGTTACCGGCCACGAGCCTGCGTGCCTCGCTGCTGGCTGCGACACAGACACGGGGGGTTTGCTGGAGCGCAGCAGATGGGAACCTTTACATGAGGGGGTTTCTCTCTTTCTAGCTACCAAAAATGAGGAGTTTTTCCCCTAAAGGAAAACCCACCTCACCTTGATTTTCTACCCCTGCTTTGGAGATGGCTTCCCTCTCAAAGCCAACCTCTCATCCCAAATTAAAAGGCTCACTGAAGGCAGAGGCAAAGCAAAACGCCGCGGGTGAAGCGTCGGGAACCTGCTCGGCGAGGGAACA